TTAGATTTCTCGGGTTTAATAAATCAAGGAGAAAAAAAAAATCTAGATTAAGAGATCATCGACTCATGCTTACTCTCCAATCACCCCAACCATAACCAGCGACCATGATGGGTAATAAAAATCCAAATACCAAAGCAAATACGGCATAATATTTGCTCTGAAGCATAATTAGAGGATCAGCATTGAGATCTGATATATCAGCACGACCAATACGATATGGATTCTGTTTTAATAACATCCAGCCCAGATGAGAATAAAAAAAGCCTTTATGAGCACTATAAGGATCTAATTCGGTATCAGTCCACCTATGATGAGCGCGATGATCTCTACACCACCATCGAATTGTACCTTCGACAGCACCAGACGCAGCGAATATGAGAAAAATCTCAAAGGGCCGACTTGCTTTATATGAACGATGGGCCCATAATCGATGATAGCCTGCATATTTACAGTAAGTATATATTTGTGTTTTGCATGTGTTTTAATGAAATCAATGTTTGTTACACTAAGGCCAAACAAAGAATGACGTCACATATAACCGTATTCTATAAACCTCATTATTAGAAATGGGGACTATGCACAAATCATTAAAGTTGGTTAAATTAATGGTATTGGATTTAAACTAAAAGATTCATTCATTGTATGAACCATAGAAATGAGCAATTTACCCCATTTCCAACAATTACCGATTGATGGCTTTGAAATGGCTTGGATCAAGCATTTTTCGCAAACCAAAAAAGAAGGTTGAACTAGGTCACGAGTCCCAATAAAAAAAGCCACCTAGAGAAGGTCGGAAAAATTCACGAACCTGCTGTAATTCCTAATCCAGTTACGAAATAATATATAATTGCCCATATCAACGTTTTCAACTGAATTTCAGTCGTGAAAAATCCGTAAAGAGCGATAAAAGGAGTTGAAAGAAGTACAGATGTATGAAGCCAGTTTAAATGCTTGTACCAATTCTGCCAGGTAATTGGATCATCTCTAATATGCCATTTTTTTGGGTTGTTTTTTTTTATGAGTTCAACCTTTGCGGGTTGAAGAGGGGAAGGTAATTTCGCCATAGACTTTAGAAGATCACTAACTTTTATTATATGAAAAAAAAAAAATACGAAAATAAAAAAAAAAAAGGAAAAATATTAAATTATTGTAAAATGGCTGAAATGAGTTTATACACGTACATTTATGTTTTTTTTGGGGTGATGATAGTGATGATTACACACTAATTAGGCTGAGTCAATTTGTTCACTTGAAGAATATATATATTTGATTCGATGAGTCAAGAAAAGCACTTGAAAGGTAT